CAGTGAAATTGCTCGATGGAGGAGCAGTGAAGATCCAAGGTGTGCTGAAAGCTTAGCCCGTTGGGTTTGGTGATCAGACTAGGACAGTCGAGGCTACGTCTTAGACTCTGCTCACTGGGAGTTGGTTCTACCACGATGGGTACTGGGTAACTGTGTTTGGGTGATGGCTGGTAACGACTACCTACTCTTCGATGAGGTTGAGGTCAACCCTCACGGGGGAGTGCAGGAGGCGAGGGAGATAGGCGCTAATGCAGTCGAGAGAGACCGATCTCTCCCGACACGAAGAGTGTGGCCAGCTGTCGTGAAGGTCCCGTGGATTGATGATCGCAGACCTAAGCAGAATTATGATGCCATCAGAGGCCGAGATTTGAAGATTACACAGAGGCTGGCCAAGAGACCTGAAGAGTTAGCAGCGTATGAAGCGGCAGTGGACGAGCTCTTGAAGTCCGGGGCGGTCGAGGAACTCCCACTGGGGGAGGACCCGAGGAAGTGGGCCTACCACTATATGTGTGGGGTTCCGGTCTTCGCCAATCAGCGAAAGTCCACTCGCTGTCGTATCTGCATCGACGCTCGAGAGCTTAACAACTTCACGAATAAAGAAGGGGACGAGGAGGCCGCGGACATGGACCTACAGTCACGGATGCTAGAGTGGCGAGCCTCAAAGAGAGTTGATTGTGAGGACCTCAAGAAGGCCTTCTGGTCGGTTCACATCGATGAATCGGATGTGAAGTGGTTGGGGATGTGCGTCGGGTCGAGGATCATAAGGTGGATCCATGTCCCTTTCGGGACGAATTGGTCCCCTTGGGCCCTCTCCTCGGTCTTGGGAAAGATCCTCAAACAGATCGGGGGGACGGACGGTGCCGAAGCTATCTCCTTCTATGTCGACGATGTCCTTCTGCGAGGGGACAGTTGCTCTGAGGTGTCGAAGATTCGTCGGGAGGTGGTTCCCGCATTAGAAGAGCGGGGGTTCGAGGTCCACCAGGACAAGCGAATGTCCAATCTCGACACGGGTGAAGACTGTATAGGTCGAGGGGTATCTAAGGAGAAG